CCAAAGGTTACAAACTCTTTAGCAGGTGAGTAGCTCTGCCCTCGTTGCAGCTGCAGGTCAAGATATTATATTTCACATCTTCCAGAAAAAAGGGAGTGACTTTTTGTGCTGGAAAGGTTTCTGAACACGCTGTCCTCTGACAGTGGCAGAAGGTTTCTTCCACACCATAAAAAGCCCCACCGTTAAAAAAAGAACAAGTAAAAACAAATTCCTTCATCACGGTGCCTAACTCAATGGATTACAAAGAAGCATCAGGATTAACAACGTCACGTCCAGCTGTCAAATGAAGGAGCTACTCTCCCACCAACACCACAGCTCATTGCTTTCATCTGTTCCATGCAGAGGTGTTCCTGAACTTCTTAACTAACACTTCTGTATACATTTCAACATACAATACCAGCAGGTAAATCATGGGGAAGTGGGAGGGATTTCACTAAGGAAAGCTTAGGGTGAGAAGCTGCAGGTAAGATGCAGTTTTTTTTCATGCATCATATACTACACAGCCAGTTAACTGCTATATTGCTTTCAATTTATACAAAACGTCAATTTCTTTCAGCTATTATACAGTTTCCAGAGACAAACACCAAGAGCTGCGTTTCTGTATTTTGCTTTGCCATTCTGGTTTTGGAATGCCTGGAACAGGACAAGCAGTCTCAGGAACAAACTGTTATGTCCCCCAACTCCATGAGCATTGTCCTGCCCTCCTGGACTTCATCCCCACTTGGCTGAGAAACAAGAGAACAAACTACCTTTGTGTCAGGAAGACAGTTCTAAAAAGAAACATGAAAGAACCTTCCGTGCCCTTCAAAAGTTCTTTAGAAACCAGGGATAAAGAAGAACGCAGAACATGGATTTGCAGAGAAAATGCACTTTACTGAGTTGCTAATCGCATCCATTACTCTATAATCAGCTCCTGTTTCTCAGCACCCACTGGCACAGACAGGAGCATGAGGGCTATACTGGTTTCGCCTGCACTGCTGGGAGAGAACATAAAACAGCACCCTGCTGCAGCTGACTCGCATCCATGACCCAAGGAACACATCTGCCCTTCCACCTGGACACATGCTGATCCTACCATCAAAAGCAGAGTTGGCCCTGTTGGCCAGGGTGCTCCAACAATGACACTGCAAAGCACTGATCATTTGATACTGAGAGGACAGTCATACCTTGAGCTTTTTACAGCTTCTTAAAATGAGCTTTCTGCAGCTCTACTTGGATTGAAGGTTTAAAAGCCAGGTCCGAACAAGAGCGAGAAAAATAAAACGCTGGGAAAGACCTTCCTGTGAAGGGTATTTACAGGAAAGCTTCTTAATTTTTCTACTTGTTTTCAAGCTGAAAAACCTTCCAATTATCACTGGCCGCTCCACTACGTGCAGTAGCAGACGGGTACCAAAGCAGGCCAGGCAGAGTGCAGCTACTCCTCTTTAAAACACAGCACCGTATCATCCTGCTCCGAGCAAGTACAGATAACATGGTGGGAAAAACACTGCTGGTTTCTGGCACCTTGCCTAATGTAAGCATTCCTGCTGCTACCCTCAAAACCGGGGAATTTTTTGCAGTGACAAGTCCTGTACAGAGAGAGAACTAAAAAACCTTCTCTCTGGGTTTCATTGCACTTGTGAAAATTTCACAAGAACCTGATCTTCCAAAATAGAAACTGAATTTTAATTTGCACCCAACTGCAGTGCAGCTGCTTTAGCATTTTCGTTGCTGCGGCCACTGTCTTAGAAAACCAGTAGGAAGACAAATCCAGCAACATGAAAGAATCAATCCCAGAAAGAGAGAGCTGTGCATCTGCAGATGGTGTGGAGAAAGAAGAATCAGCATGATCTTTCTGGAATGTATAAAAGAGATGAGCATCAGTCCTTGGAGTTACTAGCATCACCCTGGGCCCACTGGTGTCCATCATCGTGATGTCTGAATACTTGGGCAGAGGTCAATGATCAAAGCAGGCATGTTCAAGGAGAAAGAGACTGAAAAATGTAGTAAAGTTGCTGGAGTTTGCTGAAGACCAGATTTAAACCTCATTGAACACCTCAGCTTTGCTACAGACGGAAATGCAGGAAGCCAAGATTTCTGTTTGAAAGCTGACACTTCAGACATGCCTGGATCCAAAGGAAACCAACATAAAGTCTAGATTCACCTAAATCATTTAATGATCCACTGCACCTTCTGCAGCAGAACCTTCCTCCTCCTAGTCACAGTGAGCTCAAGATTTGCAGAAGAAGGGAAGAAGGAAGATACAGCTCTCACACAGCTATCAACACAGTCTTCTGTACCCCAGGTTCACTAAGTCACCTGCCTTATCTCAAACACCTAGTCCAAGCTGCCAAGGCTAAGCGTGCATCTCTTGCAATACTCTTCTTTGGACTGCTTAATTTGGACTGAATCTCCAGTTGCAGCAATCCAGCTGAACACCTGTAAGAGTTTAGATCTATGCTTATTGCAAGTCAGGAGGAAAAAACAAAAAGGAAATCTTTTGGGTCACTGGACAGAACAGGAATTCAACTTTTCCTGAAAAAAGTCTAAATTTCTAAGCTAAGATCTACTTTGAATCAGAAAACACTCTTGAAATTGAAATTCCACGCACAGGAGAAAAACACTTAACAACCCAAAGCACCTCAGACACTCCCTGCACTTGGAGCAGACCAACTTATGACAGAGCTTGTCCCAGGGATGGAAGCATCCCCACTGCTCAGCATCTCAGCAAGATAAACGCTTCCAGTGTGCTCAGCCACAGAACCTACAGCACACTAATCTCCAAGGAACTCTAGTTGTTTTTTTCCTGCATCACCTGTCTCCTAAAAGGCATGGGAAAGTCAAGCAAGTTTCCTTGCTCCTCCTCGCTGCAGAGAGGTGAGGCAGCCACGTGCCTCTCCTAACTTTGCTAAGAACTCAAGGGCCGCTAAGATTAGCCCAGACTTCCTCAAACATGACAACAACGCAGTACAGACAGATGCAACTCCATCTGTCTCACGGCCAACAGCTGCATTTCACTGGGTTGTGCTCCCAGATAAATGTTTTAAAAAATCAAGAATTTACAACCACTGCCGGCCCACTCAAAGCTCAAAGCAGAAAAGGGTGCCTGTGTCAGAAGACTTGGAAGAAGGGGCAGGTCAAAGAAAGCTCGCCTGCTGATGCAGAGCTACAAAGACCGTGCAAGCAGATGCCAGCACTCGCTGCTACTTTTAAGGCTGCCTAGGTATCACTTGGTGCTGCTCTTCAGTTAGGCCTGATGCTCCTGCAGGCACATTTCTATGAAGTGGGACAGTTTTGTTAAGTCATTGTAAAGGGATTTTGGACTGGCATGCTAAGATGCTGCAAGACAAGGAGAAGAGCAAGAGAAAACAGAGAAGGATAAAGGAGCCACGCGGTCTCCTCTCCAGTTAATAGCAAGATTTCAGGGCAAGGTGCACAACAACTGCAAATCCCTGCCTGCTTGCTGCACTTCAAAAGTCTCCCTGCAGACCAGGACCACACAGGCTCCAGCTCCAGTGACTTGTGAAAATAAGCTCACCAGGAGAAAGAAAACATACACGTATTAACTACTTACAAAGAGATTTTCAAAGGCTTTTGATACCCAGCTGGTCTTGATTTATATTGACTTCCACAAAATGCTTGTGGACAAATGGTGAGCTCTCTGAAAAATCCCCTCTGTAACTTCCCACTGAGGTATGAAAATAAGTGGTGTAAAAAGGATTGTTAAGGGGAAAGGAAAAAAAAAAAAAAAAAAGAGAGAGAGACAAATTAAAAATGAAAGTTTAAAATAAAATTTGGCTGCAGGCCATAAACTAGGGGGAAACTAACAGTAAAGATAGTTAAATGACTGGAAACAGAACACAACAGGAGCTATTATGAAAAAAAAAGAAAAGCTGATGGCTTTCTAAAAAGGATTTGTATAGATAGCTGAGGAAATAAATTCCGTATGTGACAGAAGTGCAATTGAGAAATTAAATAAATGGAAAATAAGGATGACTAAGTAGTAGTTAACATGCCCTTTCTCAGTTGTATACTATTATCACATCTATTTTTAATGTCTCTTCAGCTGTCTGCAATTGTCATCCTTTTCTCAGAACCTGTTCCAACACTCTTTGATACTGAATTAGCTGTTTTTTTTTCACTCTCCAATGCTTACAACCACATCTTTTTCTTGCTAAACACTCCCTTTTCCCAACAATGTTATTCCATTGTCTCCTTTTTTCATCTCCCCTTCTATGTTGACTCCCCAGTTTCTGAGCTTTCCAACTACCCTTGTTCATCTTTTTTTCTGGAGCTCTTTTGGCTGAATCCTAGCATGTTTCTTTTCTTCTTTTCTAAAGATACAAGCATGTTTTATATCATATCTGGCCACCGTACACATTGTTACCCCTTCAGAAAGGCATTGAACAGCTACAGCAGTGCTCACGTTGGAAACGGTAAGCTAAACTAAGGAGAAAAAGAAGTCCTTTTTGGCTTTTGCTTTCTGGTTCTTATAAAAGAACCCAAGCATTTAAACTCTCCCCTTTCCTTTTTGTCCTTGATAACAGCATCTTTCCCCAAGCAGCTGAATATTCAAAGAATAACAGGCATCAGATGATTCTAGAGCAGAAGATATGTCTAAGCAGAAGAGAGAGTGCTAGATTTATTAACACTGAGCAAACACACAAATTCTGATGTGATGTACAAGCTACTGAGTGAACCCAGCTTCCCTTTCTTTTTAAAGAAGTATGAGCATGCCTGCACCTTAACTTCCCCACTACCGCCGCTCTGTATCACCTTGGGGACCCTTATTTTAATTAAACAACGTTTCCAAACACGTTTTCAGACAGTGCAATTCGCTGTCACGCCATGCCTCACATCGCTCAGCTCCATCGTGAGGAAGATCAGACCATTAATTTCTCTCCTTTCTAATTTCTCTGCAATTCTGTTCACAGCCAACAACGAAGTTGAGTCACCAGCTCACAACGCTCTTGGAAACAAAGATAAAATAGCCTCTAAACTGCACCACGGAGCAGGTTTACCTTCAGCTGTGCCTGAGATGCCGTCGGCTTTGAAATTGCTGGTGCTTTTCTTCCTGCGATGCTTCTTTCTGTTGGCATGAGGCGAAGGAGGCGGGTCGAGTTTGGGGCTGGTTGTACTGGATATACTTGGGCTTGAGCACACTGAATCTCCTAACCCGGTATCTGTAGTTTGGGAAAAAAATAAAAAAAAAAGGGGAAAAAAATAAAAACACTGCATAATTTAAACTAATGATTGCTAGAATCCAAGATACAACCCTTCCGTGCCTGCTAGCAACTAGCCTCTTGAGCTCATGGAAATACGGGACAGCCTCCTAACAGCATCACTTACGTTTTCCAAAGGGTGCAAATAAGTGACTGGGATCAAGCTCTGACTCAGGTCCTGCCATATGGACAGGACTCTCCATCAGCTTTAGAAGCCAGGCCAGCTGGAACCGACCGAAGAGGAAAGGAAATCACTATTATTTCCAATTGCTCGCTCTTATAAAATTCTTACTTATCCTCAAATTTATTCATAGGGTGTTTTAATACAGAACAGAGAGACAGCCTAACATCCACTGAATTTTATCTGCCTGTTTAGTTGCTAATACAAGTACTCCAGCGATCTTCAGCTACTATTTTCACCCAAAGTTGCCAACATGATTTTAGTTCAACAGAAACTGATTTTTCTTGCTATGGTTCATGATAAATGCACTTTTTTTTTCTTTGTCCCAATCCAGAATAACTTCCTACTAATCAAGAATAACTTCCTACATTTGGAGTGCCTGAAATAGAAGTGAAGCTGTATCCAGAACATTGGTTAGATACAACCCAGGGCTGCACTTAAGACAAATTGCTATGTTAAAAAAACATCAAGTCAGAGAGCATCTAAAAAGGAGCTTTTGATTTCTTTTTGAGTAGTACAATTTCTGCACAAATGCCTATTTGACAAAGAAACATTTATTTATTGTTATAAAGTTTACTTACTAATTGCCTGCTAAGCACAGTTGTTCCCCAAGTTAGTGGTGAGGGACCAATTATAGCATTAATTGGCTGCCAGTGGAGACCAAACCAAACTCCAACTGCAACCTTTAAGGATTTTTGTTCTTTTTTTTCTCTTATGCCCCCTATTTTGAAAACAATGATCAAGCATTAACCCACAAAGGGAACTGTAAGAATGTATTTAGCACACTGTGTAGAGTACAGGAGGTTTCCCTGTATCTGAACAGGAGCTGCTGAAGGCAGTTATCCTGCAAGGGCTTACTGCCTCTCCATGTGCAGAGGAAGGCAAACCCTGACAAGAAGCCAAGCTGATGCTCAGCAGGCACTTGGCAAAGGGGATATCGGTGCCTTTTAAAATCTCTGACACTGGAAGAAAAGAAGATTAAAAAGAGGACGACAGCAGAGGCATGGCCAAGAATGCAAGCCCGTCACTTCCACTCCTGAATACTTTCCTCCAGCTACGGGCTTAGGAAGGTTTCCTACATTGGGAACATGAAACAACTGGACAGAACAGTGAAATGCAGATCCTTGTACTGGGGCAGGCAGCACCAGACAGATGCCCACCTGCTCTGCAAATGGAGCAAGCTACTGAGGCCATGGGGTAAGGACAGCATCTCGGTGCTTTCTGTTTGCTCGCTCACCAGGAAACCGCAATTCATAAATATCACAGAAAGCATGCCAGCCAGAAAGGCTTCCTCACATACAATGCCATTCCTCAAAATGCTTCACTTTTTCCCCTCAGAAAATATGAGGGCTGTAGCACGTGGGCAGGCCTCTAACTCTCAGCTTTCACCCTAAAAAGAATTATTCCATTTTACTCAAGGGGAGGAAAAAAAAAAACCACGCAGAAGCAGCCAGCTTGATCCATGCCCTTCAATAGGCTGCTTGCAAAGAAGTGTGATGCACGCCTGAGTCTGCTGCAACCCACAGGGCTGGAGTGTGAGAGCTGTGCTCATCACTGCACCACTGCCTGGATGTCAGACACAGTGCCCTGAGCAGAGAAAGGTCCCTTCCAACCCGAGCCATTCTATGATTCTATGAAAAACTGCAAATTCTTAACAGCTGCAAGCCATTTGGCAAGTGAAAGGGGAATTCTCCAAAACCTTCCCTTGTCAAAAAAAAAAAATAAATACAAATGCAAAGCTACATGCTTGCTGCAGGTCAGTCCCACTTCTAGGCTGTAAATTACACAAACAAAACCTGTTTGTGAATTCTGAAAAATGATGAGACTTACAAACGCACTGCACCACCGCTCGCCCCAAAGAATGAACCTGCTGCGGTAAATCCTGCTGAGCCACGGCGCCTGTGGGCAATGAGGAGCTGCCCTGGGGTCACACTGCTCCCAGGGGGAGAGCCCGAGGGATTCCCTCCCCCTGCAGCAGCAAAGAACTGCAAGGCTCCTGGAAAAGGATGCTGATGTCGTAGGGCGCGTTGTTATTTCTATAGGGCACGTCGTCGTCGCTATCGCAGGGCACAGTTGTGGTTATGACAGAGCACCTGACTATTGCGATAGGGCACGCTCTGGTTTTTGAGAGCACCCCTTGAAGATGGAAGTTGTAAACCATTGCTCTGCTTTAAAATATGAGCGATGGAAGGGCGCCAGGCTCACGCGCCGTGCTTTCCCATTTCCAGCTACTCCTCGTGCCTGACAAGGTATTCTTCAAATTGAAAAGAGGGCTCCTGAAAGCCCTGCTTCAGAAAACTGTAAATGAGTTCAGGCTTCAGCCCGCTGAATGCAATTTCATACTCCTGACTGAATACAAATAATGCATTTTATTTTGTATCAATTACCACGCGTGAGAACAGACGACCACTGCCGGCGCTATTAGATAGATATAAAAAAAAAAAAAAGAAAAGAAAAAAAAAAAAAAGAGGCAAAGAAAAAGGCATGCCAAATTAAAAAAGCCAGCGCCTCATTACTCCACATCTAAAGCAGCTCTGACGGAGGCACGGGAACTCATAAGACGCGTCTCGCTGGGCTGGGATGGGCTGTTTTGCAGCCATCCCGCACGTTCAATGTTAGCCATTAGTTCTTCCCAATCGGGCATCAACGTTCAACGCACACCCAAAAAAATATATAATACTAGCAATAATAATAACAATCTGCAGCCTCTCCGAGCTTCAATACTTGAAGTATGAGTCAAAGAAGCAGTTTCACTTTTCACTCGGGAAGCTGACAAGCATGACTAGAGGGGGAATAAAATAACATTCAGTTCGCATAAATATCAAGCAGGCTGCTTGAGACTGATGGGCCAGGAATGTATTCTTAGCCATCATTCTGGCAGACAGGCCCAAGGACACTCATAACTTATTTTACAATCATTTAGTTTCAGCTCAAGTGGAAAACGTGACAACTTATCTCTGCTGACAAGATGGCATATCGAACCTTACAATTAACTCTCCCGCGATTATCTGCCCAGCCCATCATTAGCTTTGCAGTTTTTGATGGACTGTACGGGCAAGCTCTACTTGATGACGGTCATCATTTGCAGGGTGTATATCTGTATTAAGGACGCCATTCTCTCCTTGCCATGGAGTTATCCTGCCCGGCACATGCTCTGCTCTGGAACTGCAGAGCCAGGTTTGTCAATGACGTGCAGCAGCACCGCAGCAAAATGCCTTCTCCTCCCAGGAGAGCACTGCTGGCTGCAGCCTGTGCTGCTGACGGCAGGGGATGGAAGTTCCTTGCGAATGCAGGCGCCTCCTCGTAGCACACAGCTGTCCCTTCTCCTCTCTGCCTCTCCCTGTGCATTAGGCAGAAATCACAGAACCTAAAAAAGCCAATGCAGCTGTTGTTATGCAAGCCAACTTCCAAGGCTGCCCCTTCTCCTAGATGCATTTCATAATTACAGTCATAGAAGAAACTCCTTTCAATTATGACGCATATTAATAGGAGAAATGAGAGGCAGAAGGGGAAAAGCAGATTGTCTAAAGCAACACCCAGAATTGAGATGGAACATTAAATGAAGAAAGAAATCAACCAATCCTCTGAAGAGTCTCAAGGGCTGTGCTGTTGCACTGCACCGTATTTGCCACTTGAAACACATCTGATATCCTCTCTCAGAATTACACGTTCATAAAGCTTAATATTCAACCTCATAGTTTTATCTTTTGGAACACATCCCACAAACAATGTTGCAGGAGCACTAGAGGGTTTGAAAAGGGTAAAAACTGCCATCCCAACCCTCAGCGCTCCTGCATCTGCTCAAAGCAAGCTGGGTGGAAGCATTTGAGACATCTTCCCTTCTCTGCTCGCCATGCACGCCTCGTGGAGTAGCTGCAAATACCAACATAGGAATCAAGGGGGGGGGGGGGGGGGGGGAAGAAAAGTAGGGTCCAGAAGCAGGAGAGAGTGCCCCATGCCAAGACACCGAGATGGGGGCTGAAGTAGGAGGAGACAGCAACACGTGATGCACGGGAATAGCACAGCACAAAGGCTGAGCTGAAATGCACAAACCCGAGAACGTGCCCCGTTCTTTGGCCCACAGCCCCTGTTCTCTGTCACGCACACAACCCTTTCTCTCCTGTGTAACCACTTGAAGTGGAAACAAGGCCGTTCTGACCTCCTCTACCTTTGTGCCTTTTGATTTATTTTATATTTTTGTCAAATCACCTATTTACAGAAACTTGAAACAAACTCAACAGGTGACGCTATTCTCTGCAGACCAAAGTCGGGCTTGATCTGGTTTACATTTTTCTTGCATCTTCTCGTTAAAATTTTCCAACTGGCTTTCAAAGTGAAATTAGACTTTTTGTGGAGCCCAGCTCCCTGACGCAGCCTTCCTCCCAAGAGCCCAGGGATTGATTAATTTGGGTGTTTGATTTTCTGAAGGGACACGAAGTCAGACTCTGCACAAAAGCAGGAGCGGCGCACGGGATCGATTAAAGAGCAGAAGCGGCAACACAATTAATACCTCCAGGTTCAATGGGAAGAGAAAGAGCCGATGACGAAAACAACAGCAACAGCTCCAACTGCAGCAGGAATCTTTGCCACGGCCCGAGGAAGGCTGAACCCAACGGGTGTGTTTCAGAACTTTCACTGTGCCATTAGCGTAGAAATGAAATAAGCCAAAGATGTCGGTAGCCGGTGGACTGGATAATAAAAAAAATAGCTGGACACTTTCATCTTCTACACATGTGTTTTAAATAGAGGCGAGAAAAGCAATCCTTTTATTTAAGCAGGG